AGCTAAGTAGGACCTTGTATGATAGGTTTTGATTTTTATTTTATATTCTGTTTCTTTGAAAATAAACTACTGAATCATATTATTCATCTCTTTTCTATGAATATAAGCAATAAATAAACATTTTTTTTTTATAAAAATAAAATGTAGCATGGCATAATGATTGAAAGGTAATGAGAAAGAAAACAAAAGATTGAATAGTAAAAAGAAAGAAAATGAATAGATTGAAAAGTAATAAGAAAGAAAACAAATAGATTGAAAAGTATTAAGAAAACGAAAGATTGACAAGGAATAAGAAAGAATACGAAACATTGGAAAGGAATAAGGAAGAAAACAACTGAAGAAATAAGGAAAAGAAACAAATTGAAAGAAAATGAAAGGCTGAAAAGGAATAGTTCAAAAGAAAGAAACTGAAAGGTATAGAAAAGGAATAGAAAGGAAAGATTGAAATGAATTACAGTACTAGAAAGAAAACGGAAGATGGAAAAGGAGTAAGAAAGAAAACGAATAGAATAAAAAGTATTAGGAAAGGAAACGAAAGATTGGAAAGTAATAAGAAAGAAAATAAAAGATTGAAAAGGAATAAGAAAGAAAAATTAATAGAAAGAAAATGAACTGAAGAAGGGAAGGAATAAGAAAGAAAGTATAGAAATTAAATGCAAGGCTAAAAAGGGATAGAACTAAAAAGAAAAGAGGAGTACAAGCTATAGTAATAAAACCAAGAAACAAGTATAGAATAGATAGAATGAATAAAATAGAGATAAATGGGAAAGTAAGTATATAATTGCTATTAAATATTTTGTTAGTAAATATAACTGCAACTATAACTTTATTATTCAATACTTTTCACTTGGTAATTTCAAAATTTTGCCTCTGTGTATTGTATTTTTAACTATTCAATATAAAAACATAAAAATTAATAAATCCTTTTTCTTTTCGTCAAGAGTCACTTCGCCTCGGAATAGTTCGCTAGATAGACAGCGCATTATAAATGCTGTTTTATTATTATTATTTATTAATGTAGTCCTGTCTTTATTATTATTATTTTTTAATTAGAAAAATGTCTCTTTACACTGGGCATCCTGTTCAGTAAGTAACTTCTGTTATCCCATGGGGCCCAGTTATGCTCATAAAGATAATAGACCTTTCCGGAGTGTCAATCAAACTTCACAACTGACTAATCAGAACAACGCTAGGAATACGCACGCGTCTTACAAACACACGTGTTGTCCCACAAACGCACGTGTTTGCGTATGTTTTAACACTGCCCTCTTGTGGGGCCTTAGCAACAAAATCCAAGGGGCGGAGCTTAGCGGAAAGGTCCATTAGGGAGTGGTGTTGTTTTATATGAGAAAAAACACTGCTGCCGCTGGAATTTAACCCATGACCCTGGGATTAGAGGGCAAGCATTTTAACCACAGAGCTATTCAACTACACTCCACTCTTTTGCTTTTTAACATATTCTTGTTTGCGTTTTAGATTTCAAAATTGCAGAAACAATTGAAGGACACAAAAAGAGAAACCAGGAAAGAAAAGGAGATCATTGTAAGTATTTTTGGCCCCTGGTTTTAAAACGTTGACTGCCAGACCTTTTTTAAGGTTCCTTCCTGTGTGCTAAAACAAGTTTACATGTACAAACATACTTTTTTTGAAATTTTATCTAGTCATATATCATCAAAATGATGTGTCTAATAAATTGGCGGAAAAATATTAGGGGGCTAGTAAACCTCGTAAACTTTGTTGACTGTTAGGTGCGAGTTATCTTGTCCGCTTTCTGCATGGGTTGGTAGATGTTCAAAGGGCACCGCCACTTGTGCTGCTTGAGTATACTACCGGCAACATAACACAAACATACATACGTCATTTTTACGTTATTGTTTAGGTGTATCTTCCCCGAACTACCAGCCGTTGAGTCTGTAGTTCTACAATGTATAACAAAGAAGTTATAAACGCTAGAATGTTACCCCGATTTTGACAAATGTACTTGTCCCTGGCGCCCTCAGCAGCACCATGTGGGCGAGTATACTCGTCGCTGGCAGTGAACGTGTTAAAGTCGTCAAACGCTTGTTCTCAAAGCATTTTAATTTGAGTACAAAGCATTTTTTTTAAGTTATTGATATTTTAACCTTAACTGAAAAGTATACTATATTTTAAAAGTTAATTAACATCAATATCACCTTGTAAACAATTTAAATATTAAAGATTGAACATGAACATTCAAATTTTTATATGAATATTTAAATGCATAAATTTGAATATACATATAATTATAATACAGATTGCAGACTTCACTGAAAAAATACAGCAGCTTGAAGATGCCCTGCAGGAGAAGTCCAATGAAGTGAAATTGATGCAAAGTGAATTGAAACTTGTTAAGGAATTCAGACGGAAGCGTGGGCAGATGCAAAAAGAACTTGAGGAGGTACAAAATAATACAAATTAATGATAATTAAACATTTTCTTTGTCAATGGCAGAACATTTGATACTAACAACAGAATCCTCTCTGTACTGCCCCCTATTCTCCTAATTAAGTTTCAAGTTACTAGTTAAGTTAATATTCTTTTATTGTACAGATATTGCACCTCATTACTACTACTACTACCTCAGTCTAATTACTTCTCTATACTGCCCTCTATTCTCCTAATCAAGTTTCAAGTTACTAGTTAAGTTAATATTCTTTTATTCACCTCATTACTACTACTACTACTACCTCAGTTATATATTTGATACCCCAGCATTCAATTTATCTTCAGTCAAGGTGTGCTGCATGTAATGGACTATTGGAGTAATGATAGCCTGTTTTTATTTTTCTATTTTTCATCTTAAATGTTTTTATATTTAGGTAGTTAGGTATCTTGCTTAATGTTGTTGTTATATTTATGTATTTATTCTTATTTGGAGTATTTTAAACAATTTTGACTTGTAAATATGGTATGGTTTTTCCATTGTTAAGTGTCTTTGAGCATGCTTATTCATGAAGAGGTCGCTGTATGAATTTGGTAAATACATAAATGTGGCAAAGACAAGCCAAACCAGTCACTGGTCGGAAAAATCAATTTTTAGTTATTAATACAGGGTTTACCAGTAAAATGAGAGCTATAAAATGGTAAAAGAATCATTTAAATCCGTCACTTCGTTATGAAGTTACACGAGTTTAAACATACAGCTGTTTAAAGAATGATATTTGAGAAATCAGCCTTTAAAGTTTACGATTTCAGGCATTTCTTAGGCAGAAACCATCACCATATCGTTAAAAATTGTTGTTTTAACATTGAAAATAAGGAAAATAACAGCATAGCATGATGCATAGATATATAAAGGATAGTTAGTGCAATAAAATAGATTTCCAAAATTTTGAAATTCCAGCATGTTTTGGACATTATCTCCAAAACAGGATTTGACGAGTGACTTGTTTGGCTTGTCTTTGTCACAAATAAATAAAAATAAGTGTAGATTTATTCAGAGGCTTGCCTTCAAGCTCTAGTGTAGGTTAGAATAAAAACTGATTTTGTTCTTTCAAGTCTAAAAACAGCTCTTCTAAGCCTTGTTTATGTAAAGGTAGGAGAATAACACATAACTTGCAGCGTCATTGTGCTGAATTGCGTATAGACGTGGTCCGTGACTACCTAGCAGCCGTAAAAAGGCGCTTATAGTAGCTACATGTTCACATCATTCCACAACGACAGGGGCTGAAATTAACCGTAACATCAGGGTAGCCCCTCACTCTTCCAACTCATGCATTGAGTTCACACGAGCCAGGTTTTTACACTGGGCCTCCATTTTAATTCCTTATCCGAGAAGACTTGGTTCTACCAAGCGCACCCTAGGGAGGAGTGGCTGGAACCAGCGCTGATGTTAAGGCTGTAGCTAGCAGCACCCTTGCCTTACTGCTCGGCCACTCAACTAGCCTTAATTTGTTTATTATGCTTTCTCAAATTAGATAAAAGAAGACATGTTTTTGACGAATAAAGAACACAAAGAGCAACTGCAAAGGATGGAGCACAAGTTCTTTGAGGAAAAGATCCGATTGCAACAGGAAGCAAGTCAGAAGATCGCGGAACTTGCGGAGAGAGCCCACACAGAAGCTATCAGGTAATAATTGAATGATTATTCTTTCAATAAAGATACATTTCCTGATGCCATTCTTGAGTGAATCTCAGGTGATGTGGTAGGTCTGGAAATTTTTGAACAAATGGTCCCAACAAGTTCTACAAAGGGTTTCTGAACCAAAGGGCCCATTCCAAAAAGGGCGTTGGGGTAAACCCCATTATGTTTTCAAGTCTAGGAAAAATTTTTTGATTTAGAATGGTACAATTTTTTTTCTTTTTGACCACAATATTAAGAACATTATTGGGAGAAGTGGGAGGCTTCACAGAGGTGGGGCTTCTGTTTTGACAACGTTATACACTTGAACTTGCTTAGTCGAATCCAAAATGCCATTGAAATATTGTTTGACTTAAGATAAAATAAATTTGACTTAAGATAAGATAAAATTCGACTTACAGATTGTTAATTAATGGAAAACACAACAATTTGTCATGTAAAATAAGATCGACTTAGAAATTATTTGACTTAGGCACAGTCGACTTAGGCAAGTTTAACTGTAATTATGGCATATCTCTTGTCTTTCACCATTGTGGCTTGTTGACTTATAGAAGCAACATTTTAATCTATCCTGCTAATAAAACAATTGTGATTGCATTTTACATGGATAATTATTATTTGATTTATTATCAGTAAATTGGATGAGACAACTCGATCTGTTTACAAAGAAAATGTGCGTGTGAATGAGGCTCTGTGTTACCACATGAAAGAAACAAGTGAGTTGGAAAAAGCTAAAGGGGAACTGGTGACCAAGAACAAGCAGCTAGAAGACTGTCTCTTATACACATCTAAGCTATCAGGTAATAATTGAATGATTATTCTTTCAATAAAGATACATTTCCTGATGCCATTCTTGAGTGAATCTCAGGTGATGTGGTAGGTCTGGAAATTTTTGAACAAATGGTCCCAACAAGTTCTACAAAGGGTTTCTGAACCAAAGGGCCCATTCCAAAAAGGGCGTTGGGGTAAACCCCATTATGATTTCAAGAGGAAAAATTTTTTGATTTAGAATGGTACAATTTTTTTTCTTTTTGACCACAATATTAAGAACATTATTGGGAGAAGTGAAAAGGGAGGAAAGGAAAAAAATGAGAGCCCAGAATGCCTCAAATGTTATGTTCGGGCGTCCAGAACACAAAAATTTCGCGGGGGCATGCCCCAGACCCCCTGCGACAGTGTTGTCTCAATCGTCCCAACTTTCGGCCCCCGCTTCCGGCCCCCCCTTTTGGACATTTCTGGATCCACCCATGCTCAGCCCCAACCATGGTGGGGCTTAGGTGGTATAGACCCTCCATTTTTGGAAGTCCTTCCGAGAGCCCCTTATATATCAAAATTCAGGACCCGCCATTGATACATACATTTGAATATAGATGAATTTAAATAATAAAAACACAGCTACCTGAGCTGTTCATTGCTAAATTTTAAAATCAGAAATGTAAGCCAAATTTTCAGCAAACATATTCTATTGAAAGCCTTAAAAACATCCATTGCACAATAAAGAGTAAAAATATTCACACAACTATCAAGAAAGCCCAACAACTATACCTGGTGGCTCCCACAGTCAATAACAATATAGCTAACATGCAGAAGATATGGCAAGCAAAGAGAAAAAAATGCTAAGTGATATATTATACACTAAAGCCTGGTTCTCACGTTAGCAGTATCTGGATACCGCTAACTGTTAGCAAGCGCTATCGGTTATTAAGTTGAGCGCGTTTTTATCATCAACCAATTACACGTACGCGTTTACAATTTCTAGTTTCTTATTGGCCAGTGATTCCATCATCATATTCTTGGTATCCGGATCGGGATTTTCTCGTATGGACGCACAGCAGCTTACAGTTAGCAGGATCCGGATCCTGCTAACCGTTAGCTGCCGTGTGAGATCATAGCCTTAAATACTGATATAACAAAATGTCACTCTCAAACTGTAAGAATGCTATTTCAAAGCAGTGTTCCCAGATTAATGATTAGTTTCTTCCCAATAGGGGCCTGGCCCCCCCCCCGACGACATCACTACAATAGCAGTCTAATCCAAACCTCCCAACAAGGACCATATATTTATTATTTTACTTCATTACCGATATTGATCTTTTTTCATGATTTATTTAATTTCTAATTGTGAATTCACTTTGTAGTTACAAGAGAAAGTATCAAGTCTTGAGACTGCACTCAGCCACATGGTGAAGGAGTTTGAGCGAGAACGCGAGATTGTTGTCAGCAAGGCTTCCATCGAGACCGAATCCAGTAAAGTGGAGATTGCTAAGCTACTGCGTACAGTTGAAATGAGATCGAAAGAAATGAATAAAGTGAAACGACTGGCAAAGGCTGTACTTGATCAGGTAAGGCATAGATGGGTCACATGATCACATATCAGGACCATACTCTTCTTTCATTCGTGCAAACACCTTGTGGCAGATGATATACAAGCTCTCATTGGCTTGTTGTCTGTTGATTTTTATACTCCTCGGAGAACTAAATATGTTTCATAGGTTTTGATCTTAATAAGCAGGTAATGATGTAAAGCGCATTGAAGCCTTTGTTGTGCTATATAGACCAAGTATAGTATGGCAACTTACCAAATTTTTTTTCCATTTTTACTGTAATCTTAATTACAGTAATTAAGTTATTAGAAAAAATATTTTTATCATTATTAATGTAAATAATAATTAAAATTTAATTTAATTATTTTGATTATTATTAACATTAATAGCACATAATATTTATTCTTTATCTTATTTACAGGAATTAAATTATTAGAAAATTGTTTTATCCATTGTATTGATTTATATATTTACACTAATTAAGTTATGAGCAAAATTATTTTAATTATTATCATTGTTTAAAATAATCGTTAAAATAGTATTAATTATTAGTAACATTAATGTACATGATATTAATTCTGTAATTTTTATTTAACCATCTTATCTATTATTGATCGAGTGTAGAATAGTCAGGAATTATTTACTATTCTTCAAAATGCCTATTCCCCCCCCCAAATACGCGTTTATTTTAACCTCTTTGCTAACCAGCCCATTTTATTTTATAGAGGACTGAAATGGAACAATTTTTCCTTGATTCTTTGGAGCTTGTGAAGAAAGAGATCGTTGCAAATCGTGCTAAGTACCGTCGAGATGCTGCAATGGCATACCACAGACGAATGCTAGATGCACATGCCGGCAAAGTAGACTACCCAAAAATAAGAACCTTCCGTAATTCCGACACCAGCACCAATAGTGTTTACAACGACCTGAAAGCGGCTGAAGATTGGTACGTATTAATCATCGTTTCATTACATTGATTAACTAATTCAGATGTTTAATTCCTAATTTTTATTAGAATTATTTGATTAATTGTAATTTAAATTAGTGGCTATCATTTGCTATCATGATTATCATTAATATCTTTTTATGTTGTCATTATTCAATATAATTTTAATGATTTATATAATTTTTATCTTGTTATTAATTTCTTTATGGTTATTAATTACAAATATAATTATTGTAGAAATTAATGTTATTGTTACCACCATTCAATAAATTTCAAATAATATATCTTTCAGGAGTGGACTTGGAGTCCAATTGGATCTTAAAGATTTGACTTGGGAACAAAGAGAGCGCGTTCTCAGACTTTTGTTTGCCAAGATGAATGGAAATAAAGTACGTCCTCACCCTCCGTCTGACGTTGGTCCGAATAAAACAAGGTTATCATCTTCAATTGAAAGGTACAAGTCGTGTTAACACTTATTTCATTTTTAAATTGTTTTCACACTATTCTCATATTTAGATCCTGATTTTAAGATCTAAACGTGCTTCCTCTTCCAACAGTCAACCATTTTTGAAAGCTGCTATGAATCCTCACATGCAGTTATGTAGTGTGCTTTTATGACATTCACACTGTCAGAAGATGAACAGCTTATTTGATGATTATGATGGTGATGATAATTATGATAATGATTAAGGTGATGAGGATGATTATGGTGATAAATATGATGAGGATGATGATGATATGATGACAATGATGATGATAAGGACGGTGAGGATGATGATGAGGGTGGCGATGATGGTGATGATGAAGATGATGATAATGAAGATGATTATGATGATGGTGAGGATAATGATGGTGATGGTAATGATGATGATGATGGTGATGATTGGATGATGATGGCGATGATAATGGTGTAGGTGACGATAGTAAAGATGATTGATTGATTGATTTATTTATTTTCCACATAATGAAAAAAAAAAAACATATACATGATCAAACATATTCAAAAAATCTATGTGGATGGAGACCACAATAAGTTTGAGAAAAACTTTAAGATGTGGCCACCATTAAAATAAAAATAAAATACAAAAACTGAAAATATAAACAGGTAGTCTGGTTTCTATTTTAATACATAAGGTAGAAGGCTTAATTACCATACATCGAGACCAGATATCGTTTAATATTAAGTTTAAAAGAAGAAAAACTGGGTAAAGATTTTAAAAAGGGGTCAAGGGAATTCCATAACTTAGGTCCATTATAAAATAATGATTTTTTTCTAAGAGAAGATATACATTTTTCTGTTGTAATATTGTTTTTTGAAAACCTGGTTGGATAGTTATGAATTTCAGACTGTTCGGTTGGGAATAATAGGGTAATATGGATTGGGAGTGTATTACTTATAAATCGATACATAAAATTATAGGTTTGTAGTTTGTTTAGATCAAATATATTAAGTGTATTATATTTGTAAAATAAAGGCTTAGTGCGTGTAGTACGACTTGACCCTCAACAAATCCTGAGAGCACGTTTTTGTAATTTAAAAATGCTATCAATACTAGTGGTCTCAAGACTTGTCCAGGGGCATAGGTATGTATGTTTATCAACTGTGGTGGCCCACGAGAGATTACAATAGTTAATATAGGGTAGGACTAAGGTATTGTATAATGATAAAAGTATATGTGGGGGAAAATCATTTTTTAACTTATTCATGACACCAATATTTCTAGAAATAATATTTAAAATTTTGTTACAATGAGGTTGCCAGGAAAGCTTGGAATCTAATGTTACACCGAGAAATTTTGTTTCACTGACCTGGTTAATAATATTATTATCTATTTTTAAAACATGATTATGGTCTTGTTTTGTTTTGTGATTAAAAAGAATAAAATTAGTTTTATTAATGTTCAATGATAATTTATATAATTTAAACCAGTTGGATACTTTGCTTAATTCAGTGTTAGTAATTTTAAAAAGTTCTGATAAGTTTTTGTTTGAATAGAAAAGATTGGTGTCTTCAGCGAACAGAACAAAACCTAATAATGATGAACAATTTGGGAGATCATTAATATAAATTTAAAATAATAAAGGACCAAGTATTGACCCTTGTGGAACACCACAGTTGATTTTAGAAAGAGGAGAATTATAAGAGTCAACTGAAACAAATTGTTGTCGATTGCCAAGGTAGCTTCTAAATAGATTGAGAGCAAGGCCTCTGACACCATAACGTTCAAGTTTGTTTAGTAAAATGCTATGATCAATAGTGTCGAAGGCCTTGCTCAGATCAAGAAAAATACCAGCTGTGAAATAATTATTAACAATAGCTTTGGTAATTTGGTCATATATATCAATAATAGCAAAATCAGTTGAAAAGAATTTTCTAAAACCATATTGGCGATTATGAATAATGTGCTTATCTAAAAACCCAAGCAATCTGTTTTAAATTAGGTGCTCAAGGATTTTGGAGAAACAAGGTAATAAAGAAATAGGTCTGTAATTAGTAAACAAATGAGGATCACCTTTTTTATAAATAGGAACTACCTTGGCAATTTTTAGGGCATCAGGGAATGTTCCCTTTCCAAAGCAAAGATATAACATGATGATGATGATGGGACTGAGGATGGTGGTGGTGATGATGATGACGATGATGGTATAAATGATGATGGTGAAATACGATGATGAAGACGATGAACAATGACAATTTGATCTGTGCTTTTTCATTTTCTGTATGTATTCACACTGTCAATTCAACATAGGTTTTTTGCTCTTTCTATTTTAGCTTGTGTTCACATTGCCCTAATGTTTTCATTATTTTTCTTTCAGGTTAGCTATTGAAGGTCCGTCTGAGCAAGATAAAACTTTTCTAACTCAAGCCCACATGGATGGTTCAATGGAACGTAATATCATACCCGCTATCACTGCATCAGCAGGTTCAATAAAAGCCAATATTATCCCTGATATTGGAGCGTCAACAAAAGATACACAGCAAGAGTTGGCACTAGTCTCATAAAATCTGAACATGGGACTCAAAACCAAGCAAAATTAAAGACTAAATCATATTCCAATTCATAAATTGTATTTATCATTTAATTTCAATGTGTTTAACGATTTGTTTAGCACTTGTATCATGTTTATTTGTAGATTTTAAAAACTTATTTTTTATAATGAGGTGCTTATTAATAATCTTCTATAACCTGTCTACCAATTTGACATTTTATGAGTATATAGCTTATTACATGATTTATTTGAATTTGGAAAATGTAAACTAATATAAGTGAATTGTATATTAAAACTATTATTATTATTATGATAATAATAATTATTATTACTTTTATTATAATTGTTGTTATTGATTTCATCGCATCTTAATCAGACTGATCTCACAACCAAACTCCAACCCATGGGGTATCAGAAGCTAGTGTTTCACTCATTTAATTTATCACTTTTAAAATTTGGAGATTATGAATAGATTTACACAAATCCACAATATATAGTTCATAAATGGATAGGGTTAGTGTGGTTATTAAGTTTATGGTTAAGGTTAGTGTGGGTATTAATGTTATGGTTAGGGTTAGTGTGGCAATTAAATTTATGGTTAGGGTTAAAGTGTGGGTATTAATGTTATGGTTAGGGTTAGTGTGGCAATTAAATTTATGGTTAGGGTTAGTGTGGCAATTAAATTTATTGTTATGGTTAGGGTTAGTGGCAATTAAATTTATGGTTAGAGTTAGTGTAGGAATTAAATTTAGGGTTTGGGTGGAGGTAATAATGATGATAATAGATAATGATAATAGATAATATATATATTGGCGACCACTGGGACTTAATACCATGTTTTTGGTCAGATTCACACGAGAGCCCTAGTATCCGGATCAGGAACTAACTGTTAACTCTAACCATATTAGCACCTGTGTGAGAACGCTTAGTTAGTTAGCGCTAACGGTTACCAGGTTCTCGATACGCTATTACGGTTAGCAAATTTAGTGCATTTCTATCATTAACCAATCACATGTACACATTTCCGATTTCCAGTTTCCTATTGGCCAGTTATCCGATTATTATGAACTGAACGCTTGGGTGAGCGTGTGTATGTTTGTAATCCAGATTTTGCTAACCGTTAGCCGTGTGAGAACATAGCCACATACAGTTTACAGTCCGTGATCGGTATTTTTCATGTTTCTTGGATACCATTGTTAGGTCCAATTCACACGGGAGCCCTAGAACTGGATTGGAAGCTAACCATTAACACCTGGGTGAGAACGACCGATCAGCCAGATATGCATTTCCAATTTCCTTTTGGCCAGAGATCCATCATTTTCTTGGTATCTGGATTGGGGATTTTCTTGTATGAACGCACAGGTGAGCGCGTATGTTTGTGATCCAGATCTTGCAAACCGTTAGCTGCCGTGTGTGAACATAACCTTAAACTTTTTGATACCCAGTTCAATTCCATTCTCTACTTACCCTGTGTTTCAATTGGAATGATGAAATGTAAGTATAAGCGTACCGATTATATTTGATTTTAACCTTGTTCAACATAATTTTTCTTAGTGTCTAAAAGTTTGAATTTTCCCAAAATTCGGACACATGGTCCTAATTGAATATGACAATTTAGCATTATTTAAGGGGCGGCCCACCATTCCTAATTTTTTCAAAATTTAAAGTGGAGAAAAAAGAAAATTATATTAAAATTTAAGTGCCACTTCCAGCCATATAGAGGTGCCATAATCATCAATTTTCTTACCTTAACCCCAACCATGGTGGGACTGAAGTGGTATACACTCCATCTGTAAAAGTCCTTCCTTGGATTGAGGATCAAATTAAGCC